ATTTTACTTCTTATTAATTCATTAATGCCTCTCAAATGTTGTTTCATGTTATATAATGTATAATATGTTAAATGAACATATACCCTAAGCAAAATGCCATGTAAAATACATAACACGTTCAGCGGAACTCCAAAATTGCCCAGGGTGTAATGGAAAAGTAATTAAACTAAAAGTACTCTGTGTGACGATAGCTTTCCCCCTCCCATATCTGGTTTTAGCTGTCCTTAATTTATTTATATTTAATTTTTTTTTATGTAATGTAATAATGTTTTGTAATTCTTTATGTAATAATAGCTAGCCGGCCGGAAACCAGGTAACAATTTCACGACACAGCGGCAAGGCCATCTAGCTTTTGGTGGCAGAGTGTAGCGTCAGTTCGGTGTTTTGCTTGTGTCTGTGTTTGGCTGTAAGGTAGTAAGTATAGCAATATATTAACAGTTCTTCTTTTCAGCGTGTTTATATTTTTCAACTTTTGTTTCATTATGTACCATTTTATTGTTGTATAAATGTTATAAATAGTTGGTTTTTTCAGCAAAAGGTTTTTATGACTGTCTACCTTTTGAGGGTCAATTTAGTTTAATGTAGCATTAGTATATTTTCACTTGATAACGGGAGGAGTTTATCCAACTCCAGAAACGTTGTGTAGTTTAAAACACAAGACACGTTGGAAAAGTCAAATTAAATAATATAACATGTTTTGTGTTGTTTGTTTGGAATACTGATGCGTGGGAAAAAATAGTGCAACAAAAGTAAAAAGAGTGTGGCAATAGTAAGTAAATGCAGCAATTAGCAGTTTTCTGTGCTATAATCAGTGCAATGAAGCCCACTTTGTCTAGTGACTGTAGGAAAAAATAATGTTTATGTCTAGTAGTGGTGTACCAAGTTTTTAAGCTCTATCTTTAATACTTTAAGAAATATTTAACCGTCCCGGGACTTTCTTCAACCCTGGATAGGCTATTTAAGTAATATTTGACATATTCGAAATACAGGGCGTTTTTTTACGCAACCCAAATTACAGGTTTTTAAGTTAAACACTGTATTTTTATAACAAAACAAACCCATATGTTGATTTCTATACTTTCTTTACACCAATGTCGATCAGCTGATTTGCGTTTTGGCATAGTTATCATGAGGTTTAGTGTTATTGAGAATTGATTAAAAATCAGGCTCAACATATCAGGCTCAGACACCATGTTGAGTTTTATTTGCAATAAATTCCCAATATCAGTACACCTTATTAACTATACAACAATGCATATTAGCTGATTTGCAAATGAATTAAAGATAACAAAGCTACCAAATATAAGCTTGTTTTCATCTTCAAACAGTGTCTCACAGTACCTGTAATTTGAGTTGCATTTTAAAGAAACTTACTATATTTAAATGACTTACTTAAGGGTGGTCTACACGCAAGGATTTCGCGAACGTTTTATCTGCGCAGGTACAGGTTTCAACACCAACTTATAGTGCAGTTTTGTGATAACTTCAGTGTAAGTGTATGTAATATCGTGGAAGATGTGTTTCTGTTGGCAATTTCTGCAGCCAGTGTTACAAGTAAGCAAATAAATAAGTCTGAGAGACGACGGCGCTCGTATGGTCAAAACGTTGGTTACTAAAAAAACAACAAACTTCATAATAGTTTCTCTGTTCACGTTTGAATCTACTGCTTTGTATTTTTCAAAAGTATCTAAGTCTTTTTTCTTATCACAGTCACTATATTCCTTACTCTTGACCCTCCATAAATTAAGGACACTTCTGGACAGTTCGATGAATTCAACAATAAAATCACGGGAACATTGGCGAAGATCTGCGATTGTAATTAAAAAACACACTTATACCTCTGACAGCACGTGAAGACAACGGTGCATACTGGGGTTTTGAGCGTTTAATCAACTCCATCCTATCAGCAGAACTAGCGGGATCATTTACTGCATTACCAGACCAAATTGACTTGTTATTGGATATTCCATGGCAGCGAGTTATGATAATCCGTAGCGTAGGATCACAATCAAACTACAAAACATCATTATAGAGGCATCAATTATGTGAGATTTATACTGTGATGTCATCAACCTCTTATCAACATTTAATATTCAATTGCAGATTGTCGATTTATTGGATTCGTAGGAACATATTCTACGCATATCACACGTGGTTATAATAAATGGATCATACTTAAATACTAAGGCAAAGAGTTGTTTAAGTACTTTCTTCAGTCTCCATAAATTCTTAAATACGCGCCAGTATGTATTTAATGGCATAATTAACTGTATAAATATGTAGGTACTTACTGTCTTCGCAATCCTTATTTGGTTATAACACTTCGGCCATTTCGGAGATTACTTGTCGGGTGTTTTTTTTTTTGCCCTCAGACGCTAGGCACGAGCCTGGGATTGTTTGTCTCATTACTTCAGGCTAGACCTAGAAGTTGTGACATTATCATTTAGATAAAATGCATTGGTGATTTGGCGGGATTTGAACCCGGGACCTCTGGAACCAAAGTCCCGCCCTCTAACCACTAGACAGCTCGCTCCCCCAACATCGTCGGGTGTAGTAGTACACTAAACATAACCGCAGGGGGCTCACGCTTGCGTGGGTTCGTGGCCTGGGCGACCACGCGGACCCTAGCTCTCCCAGAGGGGAGGTAACTGCCCGGTGTCAGACCCGGCACTTCAGGTAGACCACAGTTATGGACGACTGGTAAGCGCCAGCCCCTTAGGGGGAGCCTCCAGTGACATTCCCTCCATTCAGGGTGGGGGGGGGTGTTTAGCTCTCAGTGACGCCGTTAATTCCGCCTCTCCTCATCTACCTGTAACTGTGGTTGTGACTGAGTCCTACCTGTTGTGTTCGACTGACATTTTGTGAGGCATATCCTCGACTTTGGAAGTAGCCTCGTCCTGGGAGGTGAAATACCTAGCCCCCAGAGGGGAGGTAAATGCTCCGTGTTGGTATCGGCATTTTCAAGTTGGCCACAGACATGGTCGACTGGGCATCGGGTCCCAGTGACATTCCTTTATCCAGGATGGAGGGGTGTTTAGCTCTAGGAGAGATGGAAGTACATCATAATCTCTAACCTACCTGTGTCTGTGGTTCTTTGGGCTTCGGCCTGCTTGTTGTGTGCGACCAGCATTCAGTGGGCAAATCCTCGACTTTGGAAGTAACCTTTCCTGGAGGTGAAAACGGGCAAGTACCCGCAGCTCACGGGGACACTCAAGGGCAACGTAACTTTCCGCAGTGTGAGGGCAACGGTTTGTAGGTACTTATGCAAACCTATCCCTGTCTCTGAGCACGGACGGTATGGTTATCTTGAGTGTGGGGGGTTCTTCCCGGAACCTCAATTGAGTCAAGGGTGTCGCCACCTCTGGTGGATAGGTTCATCCGGGTGGGTCCCACTTCTATACCTGCCTCCTTTTGGGAAACCCTGATGGCCTGGCAGTGATGTTGGGTCTGACGGGCAAACGAAGTAGATCGGGTGCTGGGTCCGAGCCCGCCAGGGGTATCTGGGGATCTATCGCTCTGGTTATCTCTGGTTTCCCAGCAATGGGTAAGGCCTCGATCGGGCAGCGGTGTAAATGGGAGGTTGGGGTTCCCCCCGTCAGCGTGCTGATGGTCCCCTTCCTCCTGGCTATTGATGGCGGGTTCTGCCTGTCAGGGATTAGATAGGTCCCGAGTGTTGCTTGCACTAAATGCGTCGGGGCGCTCTACTATGGACCTCTAGGTTCCGACCTAGTGGAACCCAGGTGGAGTAAAACAAGCAGCCGGAATCCCTGGTTAGGATTGAGGGGCAACCCTCTTTCCGAAGGGTCTGCTTCGGCAGCCGGCGAGCCTGATGACCTTAAGTCATCCGCCCATGATGTGCTAAAGGTTGATGCGTAAGCTTCGGCCTACATCATGGGGCCCGGGTATGTCCTGAAGGATAGGTACCGGGTAAGCAGTCAGGGGGCTTCGGCTCTCATGACAACAAATGTAAATGTAAAAAAAAAAAAAATGTAGTACACTAAACCAAAATACTGTGGTGTTTACCTTTTTCTCGGGATTTCTTTATTTTCATTGCGTCAACTGTTACTGTTAATAAGTAGTACATATACAACACGACACAAAAACATTTAAGCACGTACACGGCTATGAAACTGGTGACAGACTGAAGGAGCCTTCTACGAAAAATCATAATTAACTGATACAAACTGTTAATTACTGTGCAGGTTTATGCGAGTATAATTATTTAGTTGGTCCACGATGGTAATACAAACTGCCCAAAACATACACGAATAACGTTAATGCAGAATGATTCAAGAGTAATCTTTAAGCAGTATATCGGATACGAACTTCGCATGCATTTACCAATCTCACTAGAACAAACAAAGGATAACAAGCTTTTCAGCCAGCAAGCTCATTCAGATATAAGCCAGAAGATTAAAAACAAACAACCAACTCACTGTGGCAAGTATTCACGTTCTTGTAACGGCTGACCTTAAAGTAATCAAGGAGGAAGTTACTTAAGTGCGAATAAATCTTTGTTGTTTTATCATTATAAACTGAGATCAATAAAGTCCAAACTTCTAAATGTCTTAGGTTTATTATTATTATTCTTGGATACAGAAAAAACGCATTAATAATCAAACTAATTTCACACTTTTATATTGCGTTGACTAGTTAATATTGTATTGTAAATTTTCGTTCCGCAGTTTTTATCCAGGCCAAAAGACGCTGGCCTGATATATAATGACAAACAATCTGTAATGGTTCATTTCAAATTAACTCCTTATGTTATAAAACATACCTTTCTTATGAAGTCCTTTAGAGCACTGTCTCTAAGTACAAGAAACATTCTCTTAAGTTGACCAATGAATTAAGATAAATTATGTAGTAAATCAAGAAAAGGGCTGAATCGGGTAAATAATATATCGAAGATGATAAAAACTTGTACTATTACATTTTAGATATTTGTACACCGTATAAACATATCTACATATTTACAGAAGGTAAAAAATAAGCATTCCCTATGTTTGTAAAACAACGGCAGCTAAAATACAAAGAACGCTGTATCTATGACTATAACCACAGTTTGCTAAATGATGAGAGTTTCTATCGTCTGACATGACAGAACTTGCCAAAACTCTGGTCCCCTTGCCGTTGTCAGGTAAACAGCTCTGAAACAGAAAGCAAATGTCAATTATATTAAAGTGAAACGAATGTTTTTGCAGAATTTAAAATCCATTGAAATCATTATTACCAAATAGTTTGCGAACTACGCCACTTTAAGTTTGTACACAAATTATTATATAATTTCACTAAAATAGACTGCGATTGTTTAAAACATAAAATAGCATGATATTTAATTTTAATAAAATCCTACTAAAACTAATAATTAATTGTCTTCTGCAGATGTAAAAAATAACATGAGCAGTCTACGCTGTCAATAACAGTGTCCATTTATACATTTATAGTTGTATGTCAACAAAGATAAAGGGGTTTCAACTCGTCTCGTCGCAGATATAACGGATTTATAATCACTAAAACAGTTTCCATTTGTCTGATTTGTTTTTGAGAGACAAGAAAGATAGCTGTCAGGGAATTGGTGAAGCAAAATGTCATTTCAAAGTCCCATTAATTACAGAGCTTAGTTTATAGTAAAACTGTTTTCTATTTTGGAGTTCAAACAATACTTATTTATATTCTTAGAAAAATTAACCTAACCAAAAAATGCTTATCTGTGTGGTTAAATAAGGAAAATGAAATCTTGTAAGGCATAATTCACTCGAAAAGGCCGGACGTGACTGCAGTGATAAAATAAAAAAAGAGCCGGTTTTAAACGAACAGCTGAAGAGTAAAATCTTGAGGATCGTACAATTATTGTTTAATATCTCCCAACGTGTGACCATTTTCCAATGTTAGTTTCATAACATATGGACATTCTAGTTTTTATTTCACACTAGGGGATTTAATTATTTTTTTATGAATTAATAGAAAATTTTGTCCCAAGGCATTCTATAAATTGACTTATCCAAAAATTAATCGAAATAAAAGATTTATGATCTTCATACTTAGCACAATATGACTAAAATCGTTTACTATTCTGGCTAAAGTCAATTTGGTACAAGTTACCTGTGTGAATTTCATAATATAAATCAATAAAAAAAAAGTTATTATATTCTACGAGTTTTGTGCCTGCACTTGCAAAAGACACGTTTCTTGTAGGAAATGTGCATTAAAATAAATTAATTATAGATTTAAATATTTGATTCCAGAAGTGTATTATCCTACTAGTTTTAGGGATCCTAGAAAGCTAATAAATAGCTTAGAACATGTACATGAAGTTATCATAGACTTACAGAATTATCAGGGTCAAGATGGCGCCCTGTACATCTCGCAGTGTATGGTCCTAGACAGGCAGCGTAGGCGATAGCATGTGGGATGTAGCTTTGGTCCACTGTACCACTAAACAGCTGTAGTGCCATCGGACCTGTAAGCAAGCTAGGACGTGTACACGTAGTAATTTACTTTAAAATAATCTAGTTTTAAGTATCGAGAATTTGAATGTTTAACTACATTTCAGCATGTAGTGTAAATGATTGTCCTTTTGTACGTAGCATCATCATCATCGTAGTTAAAAGGTTGTCTATTTCATGTCATTCATGAATAGAATAGGGGTGAATATGTGTTAAAACATATTTTAATGTGTATTGACAGAAATATATTTAAGCAACAAATACAAGCACCAAGTTGGCAAGCAGAAATTGGGTGGAAACCAATTTCTGAAAAATATATACCATCAAGTATTGACCTTGAGCATAGACAGGTACATCCTCTCCTCCATGAGTCGCCCACTGGCGAGGGACTCCACTGGAGTGGACGGCGTTCTGGGAGTCCCCGGTGCCGTTGCCAGGAACAGACCTTGGACTGGAGTATCCAGGGCCGTTAGAATACAACAGGGTCGAGTACGGTAGACCATCCATATCAGACATTCGGGAGTCAGTACCTGTACATTTATATCACTATGCTGTAGTTGTTATATTCTTTGCGTATTTAATTAGAAATGGTTAAACATATTTTTGAGGCATTGGATAGTGTCAATTGGTTTGAGCCACTTTATAGGTAATGTAGTATTCGTATAGGTTTAATCCAAGAGAAGTAAAAATAGCACATACCTAGTATGGGATTCCCTCTGGGTGTTGATATTCCTCCAAGAGTCATGACGTGAGAGTGGTCAGACGTGACGACTATGAGGGTCTGTGACTGATCTATCATAGACAACACGGCCAGCAGAGCAGCGTCCAGCATTAGAGTTTCCTCTAAAGCTCGGTATGGGTTGTTGTAGTGATGAGCATGGTCAATCCTTCCACCTAAAACATTCAGGATCTCAGTCAATACAGCTATCAGAGCAGCGAGAGTTTGCTCTAGAGCTCGGTATGGGTTGTTGTAGTGATGAGCATGGTCGATCCCTCATCCTAAAACATTCAAGGTCTCAGTCAATACAGCCATCAGAGCAACATAAAGCGTGAGAGTTTGCTCTAGAGCTTGGTATGGGATGTTGTAGTGATGAGTATGGTTGACCTTTCCACTTAAAACATTTAGGTCTCTCATAGAAGACAGCCATCAGAGCAGCATAAAGCATGAGACTTTGCTCAAGAGCTCTGTATTGGTTGTTATAGTGATGGGTATGGTCGTTCCTTCCACCTAAAACGTATATGTTATCACTACCGAATAGTTGTCTATCATAAATATAATCATAGATTAAAAGAAATAGACATACTCCTTTTATCTATGATATAATAGATAATATTCCCTTAATTTATAACTCTTGTTAAAAATTCTATATCTAACAGGTACCAAGGTTTACGTTATCTTAAGCGAATTACCATTACAAAATTAGGAATAAAAGAAATACAGCGTATAAACAATTAAGGTAGTCTTACTCTCAACAAATAGGAAGAATCCTTGAGGATTTCTCAGGAGAATGCTAAGAGCCTTTATGACCATTTCAACCAGCGACGGGTCACCGCTGGGTCCCAACTCTCTATCTGCTTCGAACTCCATGTGGGAATAAGAGAATAGACCTGGAAAACCATTTTTCATTAGATATCGATTAAGTGTTTCATTTTGAGGCTATTGTGGCCTACGATATTAGTATGTTGACTCTATTAAGTAAAAAAAAAACATCGTTTATAATTAAACTTAACAATTTAAATACTGTTTAATGTTACGATAGCCAACATTCCTTATAACACGCAGCATTGGCCATTACAAGAAATTTACTAAGCTAACATAATTCAATAAAGTTAAATTAAAAATCACTTTGGAAACAGATGTATGAAAGCATAGACTCAAGAATAAGAAAGTGACAAAATATTGGTTGAAAGCCTAACCCAACAAGTGATCCGTGGAAGCCGCATCTACAGCATCCATTTGCCCTTTGTTCCATACGTAGTCTGCCTTGAGACCTTTCTTTCGCTTGTCTCGTATCCACTCGTCGATGAGATTTCGTCCGTCAAGTCTGCGACCCTCCTCAGTCAGAGTTTCTGGGTCCCTTGCTGCTCTGGGCAGCCAGTGGCGTCGTCCACCACCCATCACAACCTATAATTTCACATCTTAGAAGTGATTCCATCCTTCAAGTTTGAAAATCTAATTGTAGGCTATCAAGTTTCCAAGCATCAATATCAGGGAATCTGTGGTCAAACAACTGTATCTTTGGTAACAACTTGCAGTGAGCTGTTGAATATTGTGTGAGACTCCCTAAGCATTTTGCATTATAATATAGGAGAATTGAATGTTTTTATTGTTACCTTTCGGATATTCTCGTAACATATAGAATTTAAGATTTTCAAGTAAATGAAACCATTCGCTGGTAAAACTAGCAATAATTGTGATGATTGATCACAATAGTACCCTGATAAAAATAGTCTGTATTTGCCATTGCTCGAATGTGAATTGATATTTTATATGCTTTTGAGCGATCATAAACAAATGTTCACACAGTAAAAACACAATAAAAAAACAAATTTACTGAAAAAAAATCTGAGTTGTAAGACCATTTTGCATAATGAAGTTTTTTTGACAAATCCATTACTTGCATTCAGGGATTGAACAAACTAGATTTGTTGAAATTGCAGGACTTACGCGTAAGTAAACTTACATTAAGGTTCTTGCCTGGTTCGTCCTCGACGAGTTGTCTGGTGATGTCCTTACAGAGTTTTCTCGCCGCTGGAGGCACCTTACTGTCGTCCTCCCAATATCTGCTGGGCGAGTGGGCAAAGAGTGCTGCAGGGGTAGCGTGGGTCACTCTGGTAGAGGTCACCAATCCCGTGGACATTCCTAGGGGCACAATTTGACACTAGTTTATACTGTACTCATTTCAGTATAAAATCTCCTGAAGATAAACAGATTACTATAGTTCGAAACTTTGTTTAAAGAAGTATCACGGGTTTCCTCGGTTTTATATCCGATATGTGTTAGTGTCCAGTACCAGAATAGTGTGGCAGTATTCTTTCGTTAAGAGTAGAATGAGGTTTGCAGCAAAACACTTATGTCAAAACATTTAACTAAACAAATATGTTACAAAGTTTAAAATGGTTTGTTAAAATAACTGTGCGGGTAGGAAAAGTAATAGCATTCATAATGATTTCTGTGGTGTGTTGTTTCATGGACATACTATATCGTTTTTGTTTATCTTAGGCCTCCAATAAACCATAAATTAACCAATTATGATGCTCTTACATAAATTAATTAGCACTCTGAATTTTCATTCATATATATTTAAAAAATAACTGAGGAAAGACGATCTTATTTTAGTACTTTGAAACACTTGTCAGGAAATTGGTGTAGAATGATAACTAAATACACTGGTCATTATGTTTTTTGGCTCATTTAAACTTTTAAAAAATGTTTACGGTTCAAACCATAGATCCTTTCCTTGGTCGGGACAGTTTGATCCTCAAAACATAATAAATTACCAGAAGATTTACAAGATTAGTCAAATAGTCATATCAATAATTGATTCGAGGATTTACGAAAGACATGAAGATTGATTAACTCTCCTACAGACAAGTGAATTATTTACTATAGTATCCTCGTTCTTGAGACCTCCCAAATTAAAAACTGCAAAGGTGCAGACCTAGGGCTAGTAATATCACGGAGATTCATTTTCGTCCCAAGGTATATTAAATAAATACTTTTATCAATAAAGAAGGCTAAGTCTACTACTCTAAAATATAAGTTGCTAAAAATGTAAAAAGATTTATTTAAATTTGTTTGTAGAATAAAGAATATGCCTCCAACTCCTTATAAAGAATGGAATATGTAAGAGGTCAAAACGCAAATGCTGTAATTGATGTGGGATTTCTACTCCCATCAGAGATTTGACGATATTCTACCTAAAACGCGCTTGACTTGTTTCCTTGTTGGATAAGTGAAAGAAATTGCTTTTAAAGGGTTTCATGTTACTTTATTTTGGTGGTAGAATGACAATGAATTGAAGACATTTTGTAGTCATACTGTGTCATTGTTTATTTTATTTACGTTTGAAGATATATTGGTATAATAACCTACTTTTACGAGTGTATTTGCAATAAAAACGTCATCTTTGTTATTAGCTAGTAAATATTACAAGGGTTTCACGATTATTATCTAGAGATGAAACTACAACGTCCAATAAACGCTTTTATTTAAATATCTTTTATCGACATTTTTTTAGAAATCTTGATTATTAAACCTTCAAAGTGATCACAAATATGATACCGATTGTATTCCTCATAATTTGTATTTATATAAATATACAAGAATATGAACCTTTGAAATTCGTAAATATTGCTTACACATCATATATGAATAAGAAGTAATCGACATCTGTTTTTATTCACATGGAATTCAACAGATTGTGCTACAAAGATTTAAGAAAATCAACATTAAACTAATAACAAAAATCCAAAACTATTTCTAAAACCTCTGAAAGCTTAAGTACCATTTATAAAAACTGCTCTAATTGTTATGGTAAATTAAAGCTGATTAACAATGTGGCTATAATGCTCGTCTGGTAAAGCTCATCTGAAAAATATCTGATGGTTCAACAATAAACTAAAATGTTGTCAATCATTAGGCTTTTAATATAGTATTTACGAAAAAAAGATAATGTTGGTATTACAGCTATATGGGCCATCTTACTCAATCCTACACTGACAATGTATTCATTTTCAACTTAAAATATGCAGGTATGTTCTTAGTTGTATTTATTGATTGTAGCAAGTTCATAAAAGTTGTTTTATGAGCATAGGTAAGTAATTATCTTAGTGTTTATATAAGAGTAATATGTGACCCAAAAATAGAGTTTTGTAACTTTATTTTAGCTATAAACTTTACCAAAATCGTTATTTTAGTTGTATAAATGCGTTCGGATTTTTCGGATTTAAGTAAAAAGGTTGTAACCTATTTAATTTGTTATGACATAGAAAAGGCCTATAGTTAATAGCTTAAACTTAAATTTCTTTATTCTTTATTCTCGTTAAAATAGGAGTTGGAGTAAGTGTTGGGTCTGTGGTGTTATCAAAATAAATTAGCTGTTTGAAAATATTACAATACTTACACAATCTCGTTTTAATAAATTAACCAACAAAGTCATCGATAAGAAATTCTAATGCCAGCTCAAATACAAATATGTTGAGCGACTTAACCGAGTTTCTATTCAAAATATTGTAAATACATTCTTATGAATTATTTTGTAACTTTAGGACCTCTTCGGAATAAATTTTTACTAAATATCAATAAATTTAACACATTTTAAGTGATCGAATAAACAGATCTTAGCAGATAGACGATAAAAACATTTATATGGTTGGGTTGGTTTTTTTTAACCCGTGGGGACCGTTGGGTATATCGGTTTCAAACTAAAATTTTAAAATTATAACATACACATCAAATGAATAATTACTTCTCGTTCACTCTTGTATAAATTATGTATTTATTAAACAAATAAAAAAATATATATGCTAATAATACCAACATTCTGGAGTGTGAACAACCAATAATCGTATAGAAAGACATGTAATTAACTATAAAATTTTGATAAAGGATTTAAAATATGGCCAATATTTTTTTCCTATAAAATCTACACATTCAACGGTTGGATCATAGTATCAAATATCCATAGCCCTACAAAGAGAAATACTAATGATTTAGCGAAATTCTCTTCAGAATATAAATTCGTGATACTATCCGAAACAGTGATAGTGTCAAACGTTCGTTTCCGGATGGTAGATATTCGTGTGTGGGGCGGAATTCCGGACTCCAGCAGAATATAAAACAGTTAATCTTGAATCGTACGTTTGCTCAATAACAGTAGAAATCGTTACCTATACGTGTTGATTAAACATTTCACTAAGATAAACAATATACATTAATGCACAACAAACATACATAGATTCTTAGGGATTTATGGGTATGATATGAGACAATTTGTATTTAAAAAATATTTTTACTATTGCATATACTATTGAAAATGAGTTTGTGTCCTTCTTGGTCATCAAATTAACGATTAAAGTAAGTATTGATTGAATGGTTCTATTGAACGTAGCTCAATCGCAACAGTCATCAATAATAGTTAAAATATTCATTCATAATAAATTGCAGGTAAAAAGTGTTTTTATTGTTAAAATATAGCTTAAACTAAATTCTATGTTCCGGGAAACAATCATCTGATGGTGTCAGATTTCAGTCATCCAAAAAACGTTGTATTATGAAACAATCAATATTAGAAATAATCCTATAATGTCAAAGGGTTTTATAATAAACGGAAATAGGTAACACAAAAAAATACACATATAAAATAGTCTACTTGCATACATATTCCAAAAATAGGTATTTATCTATGGGTAGGATTGAGGGTTCAAAATAATCACTTTATATTAAGATAATGTGCTTCAGAGCTGATTTTTAGAAATCAGTGTTGTAAAATTTAATACACAACTGTATATTTGAAAAGAACATCAGGATCGTGTAGGATTGTAGGATCTAGAGAAACAGGTTTTAGATAAATATTACATGGAGGAAACTGGTATTGTTTGGAAACCGCTTGTTGTAAAATGAATCACATAACTGTATACGGTATTTGAACTAAACATCAGGATCATGTAGGATTGCAGGTACTAGTAGAACATGTCTGATATGAATATTACATAAACGTATGATGTGAGGCTACATCGGATATGATTGGATACCGCTGTTTGTGAAATGGTCCACACTACTGTATGTTTGAAATAAATGAAAGTATTATTCTGGTTTAGGTGGAATATGTTGCTCGTGATAGGTGAAGATTTAATGGTGATTGTCAGGAGCTAAGTGATACCAAATAAAATCTTTGACATTATGTCTATCTTGATAATAGAGGGTTTGTAGAGCAATTGAAATTTGTAGGTGGTACAATATTACTAGTACAGCTAAGCTTTTTAGACCTTTATTTCAGTTTTAGCGAATTACCCATAAAGGGTATAAGCTATTACCGTAGGTCTCATGGTAAGACCTAGACCTGGGACTGATTTACTTTTTCGTTTTTGAGTTTCCCATAGGCCAAAAACACTATCCGTTAAAATTCATGTACATTAATATATATCCGTTAGCGCGATAACTTAATCAAAACTGATCCGATTTTGATTAAATTTGGTATTAACATGTAAACCTACATCGATTCATACGAGTTCGCAGACCAGCATGTTTGAGCTATGCGAACGGTGGTTTATAGGGGGATTTTATGATGTAATTTCTCCCCATTTTTGAAAAAAAAGTCTTAATATAAATTTAAACCATTTTGTAGAGCTTTAAAAATAAATAATTTAATATATTGAAGTGCTGTCGTTTGCTTAATGGTTGGTTATAAAGGGGATAATTTACAAAAATGTAAATTTAACATTCCCATGTTCTTTTAAAATAGATTGTTGTAATTTGCTTGTTTATGAATTTGGCAATTTTGTTTATTTCATACTAAGCTTTCAAAAATTCAATAAAAAGTTCACCTCAGTACCTTCCCTGTAGCAGCAAATCTAAGTACCCTTTAAAATAATGTTATTTAAATAGGAAATAAATCTGCCGGTTTAAAAGGAATATTTAGTATGAAATCCAGCCAGGTAAAGGGAAATTCGCTTAGTCTGTAGGTATACTGTGCCAAGGGTATTTTTTATACTGATAGAAAACGTGTATGAGATAGATGTTTACAGTAAGATAAAGGAGTGCTCACCCTCTTTTTGCGCCCAAGAGAGCAAACAGTCGATCTTAGAGTTAAAGACAGAGAAGCAATCTTCAAAGAGCCCTCCAGCGTCGAGCCCCAGTGTTTCAAAATTAGCTTTGACCCCGCACATAAGTGCAGTAGCACAAGCACTCGACTCCCCGATCTGGGCGTCCAGGTTATAGGTCTGAAAAAGAACACTTAATTACATTGTTTGCTAACTTGTACATGTAAACTGCTTACGTCTGCAAAATTATGGATTATTTATTAGATACATAGTAAATACACTATTTTATTATACATAAAAATAACTATTTTTTTCGTTGCCAACACCAGTGGCATGTTTACAAAATAATTCAAAGGTAGTATTCAACTGATTCAAACTCTTTTAGGGAAAGCGGTCACTCACTCCCCCACTGAAGTTCGAGACGCTAAAACAAAACACTCAACGCCCAGTTGCTATTATTTGTAACTAAACCTAAATATTTTCTTATAATTTAAAATTGCAATTAATACTCATATTTATGCTTCGAGACTGCTAAGTTTCATTACTATACTTACCTTAAGCAGTGTCAGTAGACATTAAATTGATTGGTTATATAAAAAATATTTGGTTTTATCGAATTAGTTTTTCCCAGGGCCATACTTTTTTTTATGTTACGTTAACTTTCGTCATAGTTTTTCAAGCTGTTGCCTTAGCCATAGTTTATTGTTGTTATATGTAGTCAAATTATTTGTGTTCACCGTTGTTATTGTTGTAAATTTATTTACATTGTTGTTATTGTTATTAATTTATTTACATTGTTGTTATTGTTATTAATTTATTTACATGTTGTTCTAGTCTATTAGTTTTCAATTTGTATCGTTGTTCACACTGTTGTTAATTTATATTGTTGTCAATTTACTCTGCTCTAATTTATAACGTCATATGCAAAGCCGTATCATTGTCATGTCCCCTTACGCATTCATATTATATGTTTTATTCTGCATATTGTCGTATGTATATATTATCATGCATCTCCTAAAAATCATGCATTCCTAAAACAGTTATAACCTTTTCAAAAAATAACAAAAGCAAAATTTTCTCCGATTCGCTACATTCTTATGATACTAGATCTAGAACACACATAGGCATCTCCGTTCCCAAATTGAACAATAAAGCACAACTTCTTACCCCTCACTATCTAGCCCACATTATACGCACTAATCTCCCCATACAGATAAGAGATAGGGAGGGAGACAGTGTCGCGGTTTTCAGCAGAAAGATCGGGCGTTGGCTTCTCGGTCTGAGCGATGATGCTGCCGAAGAGCTCATCAGATCCCAGTACAGGGCATAATGAAAGTCGATGACGATTCTAAAACTAAATTAGGCTAATAATACCAAACTACTTCAGTACTGGCACCCTCATTCAAGTACTTCAATATTGTTCATGTCCAGTCTTTTTATGCCAACAATATGGCAAAAAAAAATACTTATTTTTATTTAAATAATTATTTGTTTATTTTGTTATCTTGTCTGTAAAGTGGTGAGCGACGGAGAAGACTCACCCCACACGCAGATGTACAGTCTTTGTGGGGATTGTTTTCCTTTGTACTTTGCTTTACAGCCACGATTGTAATTTTTGTAATTTGTAATGTTGGAAATAAATATATTCTTATTCTTATTCTTATTCTTATCTTAATCAATGAAAATACATCTTATTTTAATTTTTTTTTAATGGTAGTTGCCGTTGAAATAAATAAATAAATAATGTTGATTTGTAATCAGTTCAACTATGAAGGCGTTTTAACTAATCATTCTCAATTTATTTATTTTAACTTTTGTTACTGAAACATTTACAGAATTTATGTTTAAAATAAAACCAAATCTGAGACATATATTAGCAGGGATTGATTTAGTAGTTTTATGTTTAGTAAAAACACAGTTAAAGGATTTATATAAAATTAAATATAAACCATTTATTTAAAAGAATCACATATATAATATCAAAAGAATAATTCATAAACATACGGTAGATTTATAAAAAATAATTGCCTTTTGATAATTTATTTTAAGCTAAGACTAATCCTGGAAATTAATTAAGAATCAATATTTTATAAGAGTTGTAAAAGTCTGTTCCACACAGCTAGTTTCAACTGTCATGCTGATCTTACCAGGTGCCTAGATTTATAACCTTGTAATACGATTTCAACTTTTGAATCTTCAATGGAAACCGAACTTCTTGGCGATGTGAGGAAGTGCTATTGGTGCCAAAATAGTGTCTTGAGAGTTACACTAACGACTCTTGTGGAAATAAGTTTCGAATGGAGAAGTCTTTAAAGATATATTGGATAGACAAGACTAGAATCTAAATCCTGATATCTGAAAAACGACTGTTTTTTTATTGTTCGAATTGGTTTTAGAAAGGATATTGTTTGGTCAAATTTATGTAGCAGTGTTCTTGTATTCTGTTGCAAATTTTCTGCAAACGAGTCATACAATCGTGATAAAGTTTGAAACTTTGGACTTTTTAGTATGGGAATATACTTTTTATTGTGTTGTTTTGAACTTTCAGATGTCACCTCCATCCGATCTTATATATAAGTTTATTTGTGTTTTTCTCTAAACTAGTTCATTGATTTACCTTTCTTATAAGAATTATTTTTTACTCTTGCCTTTTTGGATGAACCATTAAAATTTATTTCGGTTTTACTATTTATTATTATTGTAAAGCACCGTAATCTTCGAATCCTTAATACGGCTTCATATATATTAAAATTTGTAGTGTTATTGTGGGAGGACTGTAAACAGAATTATTATAAACAAATAATGAATAAAGCATCATTTGAAATTTAAAAGGCGTTTGTCAGTCATAAAATCTATGTCCTGTGATATTTTAAGATACAAAACTATAAATCAGCTGTTATTTAGATAAACATTCACAAATGCTATTACACTTTCAGAGTACGTCAGAGTATGTAGTCATCATTTTAACAATAACAATAACAAAATATAAATCATCGTGTCGTTTGTATAGCCTATACGGAAGGAACAATTCAATCGTGTCCATTTGTTAAGTTCATAATTTATATATAGTCCAGTCAATGAATGCTCAAAAGGGCAACAATATGTCAGTAGAGGACATGGAGAGGGGGAAATTTTTTTTCTGCGGGAATGTGTTCGGGGTAGTTAGAAGATAAAAATACCAAAAGTCCCCGCCCCTGGCCCTGCTGCTTCAGCGGGGGGAGGGGGGGAAAGACCCTATTTTTTAGTTTTTTGCTTCTACACTGAAAACCGTGCATCGTACGGAAAAAATGTAAATTATAAAAAGAAAGATGATAAAATTCTCTACAAGAATGGTCATATTCATTTCTTCCGTATATGCAATGGTTTAAAAGATATTCTCAAAATAATATAAACATTCCTTAATAAATTGATTTTTCACGCGTTTTTTGTCAAATAAGTTTATATAATCCATTAGCCTGTTGTTGTTTCACATCAATCACGATAGAAAACAGGTTCTTGAACACTAACCTATATAATATAATATATAAATCGTATATATTGTGTTAAAAATAGTTTATATAAATTTAAATAAGTTATGTATATTTGTCATGGAAACAAGTAATTTTGGCGTAATTATTACACTAAAAATTAAAAATATTATGTCTGTAGCTATATTTGTCCAGGTTTATTTATATCAATTACCAAAACCAAGACTTAATATTATTGTTCATGGTCTGGCTCACTTGGGACGAGAGGGTCCGACTTCTGTCCCAAAAACTGGTGCCATCTGGAACTGAAAACCACCATCTAGGACATATCCATCATTCAATTCTTGTTGATTAGACTCAATATTGGATATCGAAGTGAGAATTCGGTGTAGGCCTGTATATTCTTTATCTTCCTCATTTATCAGAATAAGCATTTCATGTAAAAAGTTCCCTTAGCAGCTCTGGCAAAACGGAGAACAATTACTGTATTGGACATTTTCTTGCATGCACAAATTGCACATCTGGCACTGTTATAATCTTTAGTACATTTGCAAAAAACTTGGTTTAGAGATTAACTGTTTCTGGTTTCTATAATTTCGGTGTCTTTGTTCAAATTAATATCTACTGACCAGTGGCGGTCCCTTGGGGGGGGGGGGGGGTTGGTAGGTATATATCCTCTCCGAAATATTTTATTAGCTAACATAAATACTATTAGCTTGAAGATATTTTAGAGCTCAAATGCATATAAAAATACGTTATTGTGTGCTTAAAATTCCAAATTTTTTCCGGGGGGGGGGGGGTTAACCACTGAAATTAAATCCTGAGACTGCCACTGCTACTGACTTTTTCAATCTATAGTGTCTTTCTTGGTCTGCCAACTTCGTGCTGTTTTCTGAATTGCTATATCCGTCAAAAACAACAATGCATTACCTTACAAGGTAATAGGTATCCACGAACCTAACGTATCCATCACATATCACAGACACTGAAGATCCCCTTTGCCATATAACCTTATGCGCGAGAAATACCCCATCTATAACCAAATTAAAAGTCGTTAAAACTGTTGTTGGTTGATTCCAAAGAACTTAAACAGTGCAGGCATTTTTGGTCTTTACTCATACCACTCTCATTAAACAAAGGGAAATGGATCAAGTTCAAATCTTTAACAATCCTTTAAATCTTGATAACTTTTTTAACTTATACAAATCCTTTGAAACAGAATTAAAGGTTTTGCTGCAGCGTTTTAATCATTGATATCGATGGTTGAACTCACAGAGGACAAAGGGAGAGCCATATTTTCCCGTGACAGCTTGTTGTCTGCAAATGATTACAATTTGATTAATTACTCGCAGACTACGTAATACAGCATCGTTGCAGTTAACGGATTCATCTCCTACAACCCCAGATGCTATTGACATGATGTCTTGAGTTTCAGGGAAGAGTGGATGATTTTCAAACATTGCTGTCAGTTTAGAAATATTTGACATTTCATCATTTGTATCATTTAATCAAGGACAACTCTGTTTGGAAAACTAACTACCCTCAGAAATGTGGAATTGGGAGCGCAAAAAAAGGTAATCTATTCCCAGTTTTAACCAATGAACCACCTAACCCACGAGAAATATTGGGCTTGTTTTTTGCAAATATTCTAAAGATTGTAGCAATGAAAGATGTACATTGTACATGCAATGAAATGTCCATTAAATGTTCCTCGTTGGCGGTTATGCCAGAACTGCTAAGGGGGCCGTTTAAATAGAATGCCAATTCTGATAAATAAGAAGGTGAAGAATATATACACTGCACTCTCACATCGATGGCAGATATTGAGTCTGATGAACAAGAATTAAATTATGGAGAGACCATAAACAATAGTATTAAGTCTTGGTTTCGGTAATTGATATAAATAAACCTGGACAAATATAGCTACAAACATAATCTTTTCAATTTTTTGTGTAATAATTATGCCAAAATTACTTGTTTCCATGGCAAATATACATAACTTATTTAAATGTATATAAACTATTTTTAACACAATATATACGATTGATATATTATATTATATAGGTTAGCGTTCAAAAATCTGTTTTCTATCGTGATTGATGTGAAACAACAACAGGCTAATGGATTATATAAACTTATTTGACAAAAAACGCGTGAAAAATCAATTTATTAAGGAATTTTTATATTATTTTGAGAATATCTTTTAAACCAATGCATATACGGAAGAAATGAATATGACCATTCTTGTAGAAAATTTCATCATCTTTCTTTTTATAATTTACATTTTTTCCGTACGATGCACGGTTTTCAGTGTAGAAGCAAAAAACAAAAAAATGGGTCCTTTCCCCCCCTCCCCCCGCTGAAGCAGCAGGGCCAGGGGCGGGGACTTTTGGTATTTTTATCTTCTAACTACCCCGAACACATTCCCGCAGAAAAAAAATTTCCCCCTCTCCATGTCCTCTAAAACCCCTTCATTGACTGGACTAATAGGCTACAATTCAAATTTAAAAAATAAGCTATAATTTTAATAAATTGTTCTTATTTATAACATATCATAAAACCTCAATATTAAGAACAAATTCTGCTAAAACATTGCAAATAATTTCCTAATGGTTGAAAATAATATTTACTTTTAGTGACTCTGTCACTTTTAATCACCTCATAATCTAGAAAATGTAGAAGCATAACTTTAAAAAATGTATAGATTGTATTTCTCCTCATAACATAAGAACAAACTATTTCAATGATTTATTTACGATGGCTGAATCAAAACATTCTTTCGCTAAATGTATCTAAGACCAAATTCATGCCAATATCCATACGGCCACACGGACGTTTTTTAACGCAAGAACGCAGCGTGAAAAAACGCAAGAAATATGAGCAGCATTAAATGAAATGAGGTATGCCACACGCAGTGTGCTTTCCCGCATTAGCGGGCGCCTATTTGTTTCAATGCTACTCTAATTTTTCGCGTGTTTTCACGCTGCGTTTGTGCGTGAAAAAAACGCCCGTGTGGCCGTAGCCTAAGTAAAAGTAGGCCTACTGAATTCAATTTAACTAATTTAATTATTCATAATTGTAATGACTATCAAAGGACTACTTGTTTATGCGAAAGCATTGATAAGGTAAACTCGTACAAATACTTGGGTGTATTTTTTGATGAGCGTTTGAAATGGAATATTCATACTACTTATCTCAGAAACTAAATTCGGAAATATATTTTTGCTTTCAAACAGATGAATGAAATTTTATCAATGAAAGAATTAAAAATGGCATACTTTGCTTATGTCCAATCTTTGCTTTTATTTGGTATTATTGCGTGGGGTGGTTGTTATAAAAGTATTCTTGAACCTTTAAATGTGGCTCAAAAAACTATATTGAAAGTGGGGTTTGGTAAATGCAAACGACACCCGACTGACGCTCTGTTTGAGGACTTGTCTATTCTCACAATTCGACAGTTATTCATTAAAAGCCTCTAAATAAACATCTTTAAACATCACACTAATATATTTCAAGGAATAACTCACTCTCACAGTACCCGCTACTCCTCACGAGTAGGTATCTCATCACTTCAGATAAACTATACTTTTTCTAAAACGGATTCTTTCTATATTTCTAATATCTCAAAAAAAATAATATACTATACTACTTATACTACTATAGTATAATAAACTATACTATCAATATATTTGTATATTTTACCAATGATAATCCTTTTGAATCACCTTCAATTAATGTTTTCAAACTCAGAACCAAACAATTTTTCTTCAGGCTTGGTATAGATGAGGCCGACGTTATCATCACAGCTGATTACCGGCGTGTTTGACACGAACCTTGCCCCCTCTATCCTGATCCGGCATTAATCCTATAGTTCGGCCGCTTAGAAAGCGACCTCCTCCAGCATTGGTTTAGCATTAGCGCGCAGGTCGTTTTCTAAGCGGCCGAACTATAGTAGTCTAGTCCCCACCAGTTCAAAACTGTATTCATTGTAGATCTATTCAATTTTACAATTCATAAATCTCCTTTCTAAACTAATAACATTTAAGCAACAGTTTAAATTCCATTATTCATCTTTTTTATATGCATAATTTCATATGACTTGGTTACTATAAATATTTAAATAGCAACCCAGCAGACGCACAGGCAGCACTTGCCTATGTCTGCTGTATTTCATACAATCAATTTAATTTAGTTTATACAGAAATGTTCTTTTTTATTCTTCGTCTTAGTTTTATTTTGTAAGTATTTTGTATTAAAAAGTATGTTATTGTTTTCTGTATATATTATGTGGAAATAAACATTCATTCATTCAGTATTACTTTTATTTGTTTTATTATTACTACTCTACAAGTACAGATTCATAACCAATACCTTAGCCAAAGCTACAGCAGGTAGACGATCCCATGCCAGTATACTCTCCTCTCCCTGCTGACCCTGGCGTTGTCCCTTGAATATCCTCGCTGCCGTGGATGTCGTGACTCCAAGACCATCCCCCACCAGCAACACAACCCCGCGTGCCTTAGGCCTCGCCTGTGACGTATCTGGCAGAGCCTTAAGACGTTGTCGTAGCGCCCTTGCAGCCTCCTCGTACCAGAACGCCTTTCCTGAAACATGGAATTGTTCTAAAGTATCTGTATCATACACTGTTTCATTAAAATCTTCATAACATGTTGCATGTAAATAGATGTGCACTTTTTTGAGTCTGTGTTAATTACGTGAAAGTGAGAAACTAAGGGAGAAATCTGTCGCTTTTCAGTGCAGTGTTGTACTTGGGGCTTGGGGCTACCGGCTGATACTCCTTGAGAAAGGCAGGGCCGCACTGTTTCTGCCACGGATATTATGTCAGCAGATGGGGGAATTTCCTTTAACCCAATCATAATTCTAAACGAGCTGCTGCAGCTGCTATTCTGTACTGTAGATTTTGCAGGAATGGTGGGTTAGCAATGTTGTGGAACATTGAAACTCTCGTCTAGTCCAAGATCTTAATGTGGGTAGAATTTGAATGATAGAAAGCCACTATTTATATTACGTATTGACTTTTGTTTGTTCTAGTAAGGTTTTTTATGTGGGGAAGGTTATGTATTTGCGATATATATTCTGACCATGATGGAACAATCTGATGTTTATCAGTCATCATACATCTCAAGACAGTCCGTAGAAGAAAGGCTTTAGCTCAATTCTGCAGAGGGACCAGTCACTGCAGATACCATAGTAGGTTATGCTTAGAGGATTATCTGAGGACAGTTCCTTTCCTACTGAGTCTGTTGCTTTGGTTGAATCCACACAAACAGGTTCCTGAAGTTGAAACTCGATGACCCCTAAGGTTCGCAAATAAAGTTCCTTTCTGAGCATGTATTCAATACTTTTGGTCTGGGTATGAAGTCCTTTGATAGGATTTATCAAACGAGAGTAATAGTGAGTCTTGAATCCGTGCATAGTGTATTTTTAATTACAGCCTGACAGTAACATTGTTAGGATGGTTTACAAATACAGTTTTAAGCTAAAAATAATTGAAAATATATTTTAGTACTTTTTTTTAAAGAATTATTATCATGTAACACACAAGCTGAAATATGAAATATGTTATACCATGAATGATTATAGTTTCTAGCCTTTACTTGGTACATAAAATATAATGAACAGGTTTATATGAAAACAGTAACTAGTCATTTAACCTAACGGCATTACGATAACATCAAATTGTGAGGAATGTTCTTTATACTTTCAGTGCAAAATAATATAACAAATAGTGGGAGAGATAAAAATTGTGGTGTTTAATATTCACGAAATAACAATAAAACCATTTGCATCATATGTTTTAATAGTTTGAGTTTAAATGCTATTTACATATTTTACGGTAGAAGTAGTTTTTTTTTTCATATTAAAACATTGCAACTAATAAAAATATTTTACGGAAGAGTTTTTTTTTTCATAATAAAACAGTGCAATTAATACAAATTTGTTACTTATAGAAGATATTCATGTTATCAACTACAACTATGTAAGTGTCATTGATAGGTATTAATCATAACTTTTTTCTTGGGTGGATTGAATACGAGCTTAGACTTCTTCATCAGTTAACAGAACTGAACTGAGTTACTAAGAATGTTTTGCTTGAAATCAAATAAATAATTTGTTTTTCTTAGAGAAAAAACAGTTATTTGTTTACAACTACTACAAAGGCTTGTTAACTAGTTTGCAAAGGCAGTCATTTAAACATTATATTTTTTTCAGTCACTATAAATCACATAAATAATTAGTGTTTCAAACACTATACAACACGTGTTTAGGTTAGGATCCAAGCGCTGAACGAAATAGGAAACGCTGCACCAGCTGATCGTAGTCATTGTATCTTGTCAACTTATTTACAAGCGTACACGTATTACGTGCCTAATAAAAGCACACTGTTTTCTGTTGTTTGGTAGGAATGTTGTAAAATACTTACTTATTAACTAAATCTCTTTATCCTTGACCAGCAAAAGTTAGATGGATTGTGTCATTATATATTACTGTACAAAAAACACTATTTACATATATACAATTAAACTGAAATGGCGGATGTGACATTTTTGGGAAAGTGACTGGCTTGTCAAACTGTTCTTTTATAGAATGCAAGGTCCTGCTGAGTATGCTCTGTCGAAGAGGGAATTCGAAACGCTTTGGGTTTATAGCTCGGATATTGTATTGCGGCAAAAGTAAGTAAATGCAACGATTAGCTATTTGGCGTGCTCTAATCAGTGCAAAGAAGCCCACTTTATCAGGTAGCTATAGGAAAACTTATTTTGTTACATTCAAAATTAAAAATAATATTTACTATACACATGCTTATGTCGTATCATACAATATTAAGCATGTAAAAGCAAAACTTTATCCTCAACCGAAGTAGGTATGCACCTTTACTACGTACTTTGAAATATAGTTAAATATCCTTAGAGTAATAAAGTAATCAAACTACGAAGTTTTACTTATTGGATAGTTAATTAATTGTATATAGTAAAGTGGTGTTCTCCCTGGTCTTTATCTTAACTTTATTTTATAAACTCATTTATTGATTTTACTATATCAGTTAAATGTTATGTCTGTATCGCTAAGGTTCAGACATTCGGGCTAAGGTTCAAGCCTGCCAAAAAGGCGAAAGTTCACATCTTTTTTGGTGGACTTTTCTATCTTTAGGCATACTCATAAATACTTTTGTTCGAAACTAGGTATCTTAGTAATACCTTACAGCTTTGTTAAGACGCAATTCAAACACGTTGAAAAATTGGCTTAGTAATTTACCAGTTTTTTCATGTTTATTTAAATGGTATTAGCAATATACAATTTTATGTAGTAAAAAGTTGTCTATCTTATATTTTTTTGTTCGATTTTGTTTTTTAAACATATATCTAGCATGAAAATTTTTACAATTAACCGGTACTAGAAGCATGCTATGTACATAACTTACACTTATAATACTGTGCAAGGTATAAGGAAACTAATATTGAGACCGGCTGTGTGTATACATCTAGCAATATATAGCTAACAGTCAGGCCAGCTACTGTATAAATGTCCTGGAACTGAACACAGCTTCTGTTTGGTTAGATTATATTGACGCCTTTCGAGCAGGAATTTCATTCAATAGATAAATGTCACAATTGACGTAAACATTATTTGTAAATAGAGTAGAAAATTTACTCAATACATGGTCCAACGTCGGTTGAATAATTGAATAATGCCCATAAAACATAAAAAGTAAAATCAATTTGAATAGGCCTTTCATAAAGGTTTGAAGTTTTCCATATCGCATTCAATATGTAAAAATAGTAGAAAATGTACTTAATTCTACTTGGTTCAACGAGTGTTTGAATGATGAAACTTGCCACACGTAAAACATAAAAGTTAATACAATTTAAACTAAGTCTTTCAAAAAAGTGTGTTGGTTTTACATAGCCCATTCCCACAGCTAAACTTACTTTTCAACGAAACACAAGAATGTCCCTAACTTCATCCACTGGTCTCATTCTCTGCGTAGCAAGGCTTTATTGTTATAGTGTATTATTTGAGAGACTATGTTGGTAGAACTGTTTAAACATTTCACGCTGCTGGAAACACAGCCTGAGCAATTCTGTGGTGGAATAATTTTCAGCAAATGTAGAATTTAACCCTACCACAACCTTCTTATAGACTAAATAATTACTTTTACTAATTCTGTTCCATTATAGAAATAAAAGGGAAATAAAACTTTTGGCCTTCCATATTTTTATTTATCTACCTACAAATGCTTATAATTACAAAATGTTCCGACGAAAAAATCACACTGCTCCCAAAAACAATAACATTAGCTTGGCGATGTGATCGCTACTACGATAAGTTCCTAGATTGATAAATTGAAAAATTCAAACTACTTCTGAAACGGTTGAGGATGTTCTCAACTACTGAATCTAAATAGACTGATGTCAATTATTTCACTCCAAGAACGTTTTAATGTATACATCTTATTTAAAGTAAAGGATCAAGCATATTACATTGTTTCCTATTTCTCAAGTAAAGTCTAACTGAATAGTGAATAACCCAAAATGTAGACGAATGATAATTTAAAGTTTACACGTTTATTTTTCAAAATTGTATGAAATATGTTAAGTATGAGTCGACAGTAATAGTAGCATTTAGTGGGTAAGCTGTATTCATATAGCTTAAAAAAATAATAGATTTTACACCAGTAAAGTTTTATATTTTAAGAATATAATAAAAGCCTAATAAATTATTTTGGTCTTCTTTAAAATGTAAGCTGAATACAAGGGAGAATTAAAACACCCTTATCAATTTAGCATAACAGTCTAGTTTATTAGATTTCTAGGAACTCTTTCGTTTTACCCATAGTCCACTAATTTATTATCACCATACATTTTGACTTCGAATGTATCTAGAACTTTAGTGGATTCAAATTTAAAATTTGCAAACTACATGAGTGGTGACACTTCCACTTAAGATATACAGAAGATTATGTAAGGTTTAAGATATTCAGTGTGATAAGTATGCGTAGGCCCAGTATTAGTATGATTAATTTTAAATACCATATCCCAAAAAAAGGGAAATGCGAATAAAATCCGAAAACTAATCTTTTTACCTTAGTCAGGACCGTTCAAGACATTGTCATTAGCGCAAAGCTGGTTGCCCAGAAATAAAGATAGTTTGTATTTATCAATATCTGAATTCAGGGAATTGTTCAAAATTTATTTAAAAATATCTTTATTAGTTAAAACATTTGTCAAAACAACCTTGGTAACTTTGGCTAAAATATGTTCAGCCATTATCAAGTGATAGTGTTATAGTTATAAGGTTTGCATTGAAGTCGATCCCAAAGAGCTTCGCTTCGCTCCGGTCAGCAACTCAATTGCATAAATTGATTTATTCTGTATTAACATTAAACCTGATGAGGGTTTATATAGAAATGGAAAACAGTTTTAACCAAAAAGCAATAAAACAAGTGTTATGAAACTAAATATTGTAGGCCTACAATACACAATGTTTTTGAACATTGGTTATTGTGGTTAGTATCTGGTATCTAGATAGACCATATTTATCCTTTAGTTTTCCCAAACAAGACCACGGCATGGACCACTGC